TTATGGTCTTCAAATCTAAACTAGACAAGGTATTTTATTTATTTATTTATTTTCAGAGTCTCACTCTGTCACCCTGGGTAGAGTGCTGTGGTGTCACAGCTCTCAGCAACCTCAAACCCTGGGGCTTAAGTGATCCTCTTGTCTCAGCCTTCCAAGTAGCTGAGAGTACAGGCACCCGCCACAACACCTGGCTATTTTTTTTTTTCCCAGAAACCGGGTCTCGCTCTTGCTCAGACTGGTCTCAAACTCCTGAGCTCAGGCAATTCATCCGCCTCACCCTCCCAGAGGGCTAGAATTACAGGCATGAGCCACTGTGCCTGGCTGCGACTAGAAATTTTAAAATTTTCCAGGTAATACCTGAAAATCTAAAATAATTTTAAAATTCATACCTATCCCTTCTCCCCACCAATCCTGAGAAAACCAACATTTGACTATCAGACTTCATGGCTGAAAGGTCACAATTAACAATGTCAGACAGTCAAAAGCGCAAAAAAGGCGTTCAAAGAACCAAGGAATTTGCAGCATTCTTTGGTTGCAAAGGAATAAGAACAAAACATATGAACAAACATCCTCATTTCATACTCTGATCATTAACACACCACACAGTTTCATTTAAGCCAGACTTCTGCCAGCTTTGGGGGATGTTGGGGGTTTTGTTTTGGATAGTTTTGTTTTTTGAGACAGGTCTCGCTCTGTCATCTAGGCTGGAAAGTTTGGTAGCAGGATCACAGCTCATTGCAACATCAAATTTTGGGATATTTTTGAAGTCTTTTCATTTAATAACTTGCACACACACACACACACACACACACACACAAACCCAACAATTTTACTAGTATAACACGTAATTCCTCTCTCTCCCTTCTGCTCCAAGAGAGGGTTTGGACGGATGTCCCAAGTATAAATACACCAATGATTTCCAAACTCCAACCCGGAACTGACAATATGCCCAAGATGAAGTGTGTGTGGTTTTTAATCAATGTATAAAATACAATGAAGCAAATGAAGACATAATTGGATTTTTCACAAAGCTAAATGTATTCAAGTACTTGTTCTTTATTATAAAAGTATGTCCTTCCTTTGTGTTGCAAAATGTCTTTTTTCTTTTATGAAATTATGGTAATAGCAAATGGTATCTTTAACATAGTTGGTAAAATACAAGTTGGCAAGAATGTATCTAAATAACGTAAAAATGTTACTATTCATAAAATGCAAACTTGTATAAAGCAACTATTGAGGGTCTGAAGAAGGAACAAAGTTTCTATAAAGAATTGGCCTTGGGCCATGTAATGCCAAACCCACGTTTTTAGAAGCTTAGATTACAACACAACATTAACAGCTGAACGGTAGCAACCTTCGCCCCATTTCACTCTAGCGAAGGCTAAAACTTTTTTTGCAGTGTTACCCTTAACCTTTGTGCCACCTTCCAATTCTGAAACTGTTTCAGCTAATTAGGAACATAAAATAATTGAGCTACGTTACCCTATTTGCACAGAAGACTGTGAAGACAGAACAAGGTGGAATGATACAATGAGAATCTTAGAGCCCCTAAGATAAAGTGTGCAAGAAAAATAAATGACTTAGACACAGCACAACAACTATGCTCAAAATCAATTGTAAGGTGGTTAAACAAAATCCAGATGAAAAAGTGTTTCACAAAAACAAAATAGGGCTGGTTTCCAAAGCAGCCTACGTGGCCTATTAACCTAGATTATCTAAGGAGTACTCCTAACTCAGAATTTAGAAGCATCTCTTTATCTCATATGACTAAAAATGAAGGTGAGATGGACACTGAATGCTCCTAAGGAAAATTTGTTAGGGGCCAGGTGCAGCTCACATCTGTAATCCCAGCACTCTGGGAGGCCAAGGCAGGTGGACTGCCTGAGCTCACAGGTTCGAGACCAGCCTGAGCCAGAGCAAGACCTCACCTCTAAAAATAGCTGGGTGTTGTGGGGGGTGCCTGTAGTCCCAGCTACTTGGGAGGCTAAAGCAAGAGAATCGCTTGAGCCCAAGAGTTAGAGGTTGCTGTGAGCTAAGGTGCCATGCCACAGCACTCTCTCAAGGGTGACAAAGAAAGACTCTCTCTCAAATAAGAAAAAAAAAAAGAAAGAAAAAAGAAAAGAAAATCTGTTAAAATTTCCATTAATTTCCATTATTTGTAAACAAAACAGCAATTCCTATACCACTTTGACATTGACATAAAAAGAAAGCACCTCTCTAAATTATCTACTTCCTATTATTCCAAATTGAGAAACAAAGCAAGTTACTCTTCCTAAGGCCAAAGCAAGTGTCCTGGAGTTCAGCTCCTCAAGAGCTTTGGTTTCGTTACATATTGGTGCAAAGACAGGATCCTTCTGAAACTGGGCCATAGCAAATTACACATCTTTCATGTGTGTATTCATGTGTGTGGTAAAATAACATAAATTCACCATTTTTTTCATTTTTAAGTATACAGTGCAGTAGCATTAAGCAAATTCACAATGTTGTGCAACCCAAGTCATGTACTTTATCCTGGACCCCCAAGGACTCCACAGGCTGTTCAGGGTATGTTTTCATTTGTATAAGAATCTATTTTTCCTCCATATTCCTCAACCTTTCCTTTTTTTGGGCTTCTTCCTATTGAGAGATTCTTGTTTCCTATACCCTAAAATACCAATGGTATTATTATGCAGGTACGAAACGCAACTGATTAAATTACCCTGAAGACCATATGTCCAATGCATTCAACTTGACATGTCAACTGTGAAAGCCACTGTTGGCATGTGCTCATATTCTAGAGGGATGAAGATTTATAATACCTTCTTTTTAAAGATTTAGGAGCCCCGGTATTCCCTTGCTTAACAGAAAAAGCTTGACTACAGCAGTGATTTTCAAGCAGTGTGTCCCAGCAGACTGGTGTGACAGGAGAGGATCTTAGGTGTGCCACAGAAACTTGTAAAGATCCACTAATTATTTTCAAAAGAAATTCAAAGCATCTTAAGTATATATTTTGTTGACACTTTTTTTTTGGATCAAAATAATTTAAGGGTGCTGCACAAGTTTAACCACCGGTTCAAGTGTGCCGTGAGATAAGAAAGGTTGACAATCACGGCTCCAGGGAACTCTTCATTTATACTACTGCCATGGCTGTCTACAGTTCTACCAGGAACCACATAAAATCAAACGCTTTGTTCAAGTAACTAAAACTCAGCTTCCATAACAGATCCGTAAGTCCACGTGGATTTGGATTTGACCAACTGTAGGCTGAACTTTTTGTTTCTGTTCTTAACACGTCATCTTTTTTCCTTGTCCAATCATTATTCCCTAAACAATACAGTAACTGTATAGTAACTGTTTACATAGCGTTTACATTGTATTAGGTATTATAAGTGGTCAAGGCACGATTTAAAGTATACAGGAAGGTGTGCATGGGGTGTACCATTTTGCATCAGCAGGTGTTGGTGTCTGGGGGGAGGTCCTGGAACAATCTCCCACAGACACTGGGGAACGACAGATACTCGCATAGTACCATCTTCCCTCATCAGCAGATACAGAACACCTGTGCCCTCATCAATAAATATGGACTATAACAGCTTTCGCACTCATCAGTCTGCTTGGTATGGCTTATCCTGGCAATACAATTTACCACTGCCCCTGCTGCTTATTAATTTTTCAAAATGTTAGAGCATTTGAGTGAACCCAGGACATTCACACATTACACAAAGCAATCAATATGACGAAATTGCACTCGAACATTGCAACTGGCTATTATTTTTCCTTTAACGCTTACACACAGAAGAACACCGGTTCTGCCAAAGGAGACTATCAATTTCCCTATAAATTTGTCCGCTGTTTTTTTAACAAAGAGATTGTTTTGTAAGTGAGGAAGCACAGCTGTCTCAGGTTTCCCTCTCATCTCTGTAACTAACCTGCTGGAATATGGGCCTCTCTCTTGCCTGCGTACGCAGTACTACAGAGACAGCACTCAGGAATGCTGACTGGAGACTATCATTACAGGCAGACTTAGTAATTTTTTGACTTTACAACAGTGCCAAAAGGGTACACCCTCAAAAGAAACCAGGATTCGAGCACCTATGCAACCATTTAGTTTTTCATTTTCCTTACTGAGGAAATGACATGAGATAGAAACACTTTATTATGAAATAGGCTTTGTGTTAAATGATTTGACCCAACTGTAGATTACTCTAAGTGATCTGAGCACATTTAAGGGTAGGCTGGGCTAAGCAATGTTTGTATCTGCATTCTGACTTAAGGATATTTTCAAATAAAAACTGATTTATTGGGATGTTACCCCATCTTAAGTCAAAGAGCATCTGTACTAGTTTATTCACCTCTTGAGTTGTATGTGGGGGAAATACACCTGGGATGATCCTAGGAATACAGCTCGCAGGATGCTCACTACACAGACAGAACCGCCACCAAATGGGAAGCTCTCCTGAGCAAACACACTCATCAGTTTTCAAGCTGTAGTAACCTTTAAAGAAATTTGCACCACAGTTCATTTCACAGGAATTACTTTGTAGCTAGAAAACCTCTGTGAAATCCTAGAAACCAGGACTGCAACTCTAAGACCCACCTTCGTGCTGCGGTCTGGTACACACACTCAGGAACGCATGTTCCAAATGGAATCCTCTCTCAGCCGCTTACTGACCCTTAGGCCTAGTGCAGCGAGCTATTTACATTCTACAAACTCAGGGACCATGACTGTCTTGAACATAAATAAGCCTTAATTATTACTTATCAGTAACCGTTACTTATTACTTCCTGAATCCCTAGTAGTGAGGAGTAGCCTATTCTAGTGCTGTGAGGGCAATATCTGGAACAAGGGGCCCAAATCTGCTTCTCTGAACCTATCCCCAGTTGTTCCATTCACTTCCTGTTTGACATAATCCATCCCTAATTGCATTATGAGAATTTAAATATCAGGCATGCTACTTACAAAAGAAAAAGCCATCTTTTTCCAAAGATTAAACTACTAAATAATAGATGGTACAAAAATGTTTGCATTTCAATAGAACTAGCTTTATTTATTTATTATTTATTTTTTTTAAACAAAAGAAATGGTCTAAAAGCAAATGCAGATATGTACCAAGGAATGGACATGACCTGGTACTTACAAAGGAGATGCTGTGTCATAATGGAAACAGCCTATTAGAGAGAAACAGTGTTTCGGGTGCTGTGTGGTGGAGGAATCTGGAGATGCGAGTTAACTGAAAGGAGGTGCTGGGCCAAGCAATCAGCATGAGGGGGGAACCACCAGAGGCTGCTTCCAGAGAACTACGTGGTGGCCGCGTGAGAACTGGCATCAACTCACAGTCTTCTCATTTTCCCCATTTTCTATAATTTTCCTCTTCTTTTCATCTGTTTTTTTCTTGAAGATGTTATTTCGGTAAAACTGAAGTTCTTTGATGCTTTCACTAATGTCATCAAGGGCCCTACAAGCAAACACACTGTACTGAATGCAAGGCCCCAAACCAGAGGAGACGGAATTTAAAACCATAACCTTTTATAAATAACTTAGGAACAATGGGTACTATGGTCAATGCCACTAGTTGGCAGTATCGCAAAGTGGAACATTTCACTGAAGCAATCTTAAGTGTTTTTTAAAAAACTTTTGCCAAAAAAATTTTATAAAATATAAAATATTAAAAGTTCCCAAACTGTCCCGTAAGATGATGATGTGTTCCCTGGTGGGGGGGAATATTCCAGGGTCAAGTAAGTTTAGGGAAAACTAGATTAAACATTTTTTCTGAAATTCTTTGCAAAGTATTTAATATACTAATGCATATTACCAATTCTCAAGAGGAAGCTACATAGCACACAGTAATTCTAAAAGTTAACTGACCGTATTCGTGGAATATTAACAGCTCACGGAACACAGTTTAGAAAACACTGCACAATACTTAATAATGTCCCTGGACGAAATATCCTGACATACTCGAATGTAACTCATGACTCGTCATCATGATAAACATCCATTATGAGACAAGAGGATCTGCCTCCTCTCTCGTGGTGATTTGTGCTATAAGCTAAGAGCCCTTCTACTCCTCCAACATGCTGTTTCTCATCTGCCGTAGTCTGAGAAAGCAGGTAACCAAGATTATTAGAACAGTGAGAAGGAGGTCAGTAAGCGCTGAACAAAGGGGCAGTGCCTGTGGCTCAAGGAGTAGGGTGTTGGCCCCATGTATCGGAGGTGGTGGGTTTGAACCCGGCCCCAGCCCAAAACTGCAAAAAAATAAATAAAAATAAGCACTGAGCCATGGGCCAAGGGCCTCTTCTAGAGAATATACAACAATGACGGATTGGCGCCTGTAGCTCAAGTGGCTAGGACACCAGCCACAGACACCAGAGGTGGGGGGTTTGAGCCCAGCTTAGGCCTGTAAACAGCAATGACCACTACAGCCAAAAAATAGCTGGGCATTGTGGTCGGTGCCTATAGTTCCGGCTACTTGGGAGGCTGAGGCAGGAGAATCACTTAAGCCCCCCCCAAAAAAAGAGTTTGAGGTTGCTGTGAGCTGTGACACCATTGCACTCTACAGAAGGCAACATAGTAAAACTCGGTCTCAAAAAAAAAAAAAAAAAAAAGAATACACAACGATGGGCCAAGAGCCTCTTCTAGAGAATATCCTGCACAGACTTGGATGCCAGAGTTTTATGAGTTATTTCTGTGGCTACTGCAACAATCTGCTTTCTTCCCAGGTCTTGGATATAAGGCAGAGAGCTGAAGTTGTCAGAATTACAACCTCTGGCTAAAGAAAGGGACACAGCCTCTTATCTACGATACTGAAATCTAAATCAGACCTGAAAACTCATAAGTACTTTCCCAATCCTTTGTGCAATAAAATCTGACCAACCTGGATGTGAGGCTATTTAACTCATTAGCTGTGAGTAGGTGTTTCACTACAGAAATATCTACGTGTTTTATTATGAACTGTGTCTTCAAACCTTGTTAGGAATGCTACATAGTAAAAAACAGTGCGGGGGCACTATTACCTCTCTAATATCTAAAAAATTCTGAACTCCAAAACATATCAAATCCCAATTATTTCAGATAAAATATTCTAGGCTTGTACTATGTTTCTCCTGAAAGAATACAAAATCAGAAAGAAAGTAAAAGACCCCAACACAGAATACTGGATACACAAGATCTTTAAATTCCTTGTGTGCTTGTCCTGAAGGCTACAGACACAAAAGTAACAATCTGAAAAGCTAGAAAGTGACAAAGCAGGGCAACTGTATTCTACAACTGTACAGGAAGTGTTCTAATTTCAAAAGCCTACCAGTCCCTATCCTCTGTGGGAAGGACCCTAACACTGCTCATTACCAGAAAGAGTACACGTGGTTTCATCGTACCTCTAAACCAAGTTATAGGTAAGAGTTTTAAACCTATAATGAAGTCTATATGCCCTTCTTCAAAATGGATTACTGAAATCCTGATCAGAATTCCTAATAATCTTAGTAAAGGAATGTTATCTTTGCTGTAGTTGACTTTTATCTTTTCCTCCAAGGAAAAACAGTAGGAGAAAGGACATTATTTGAAGCAGTCGGGAATTTGGGAGTTACGTGTGTCAAGATTCACAAGCACTTGGTAGGACCCAAACTCACCTGTGAGAAGCGGCCTTCTTTGGTGCGAATTCATATTCTTCTGGGTACCAGCGTCTACACACAGTAGAAATGGAACTCTCAAAGGAAGCTGTCTCAAATACACTCAATAATTACCTCCTTCAAGTAACACACTGACACTGAAAAAGTCGTGATTCTCGAGTTGCCTTTTTGCCAGGGGACTCTGTCTTCCACCATGTCCTCTCCTTATAGATTCTCTTCAAGCAAGCTCATCAATGACTCTCCAACTCCTTTTTAGAGTTTCTGTCATGCATACCCAACTACCTCCTGCCCTCCCACCTTAAAAATCTACCAAGTACTTCTAATTCAAGATCTATAACACCACACTCATCACGTTCAATGCCTCCCTGCCCCCCCTTCCACCGAAGCTACTCTTCTCCTAATTTCCCCTTGTACACCTAAGCTGTCCAGACTTGAACCATCTGAATCACTTTAGACCTCCTCCTTTTCCTCATTCCCGTACCTGAGCATTCAGAGTCTGTCAAGTTCACCCTCTCACACACTTATCTTCACGCCACTTGCGACCCCCCGAACGCCATTCTCCCGTCTCATTCCTCTCCCTCCAAGATGATGCCAAGTCTCCTTTCTTTTTATCTCCCTGCCTCTTCTCTCGCCACCTTCTAATCAGAATAACCTAATCCCCGCACTCACTCTTCTACTTAGTCTTTCTCAGTGAACTCCATCCTTTGTGAGATAAAACTGAACTTCATCAGCACAGCATACAAGCCGTTAGGTGGTCCTTCCCGCGAGCCCTCAATGTTCCACTGACGCTTTTCCATTATAGGGAATACATCCCAGAATACATTTTTAGAACGTACTTTTTAACACACCAAGCCTCTAGATTCCAAGCCACTTATGGGCTTTTCAACCGCATGAGCCCAGCAGACACGCCAATGTCGGGCACAGAATAGATGCTCGATAAATTGTTGAACTAATGAAATTTATACTGAAGATTTTTGACATGGCTTTTCCCAATTTCCACCAGTCCAGGATAAATTAAGGTCCTGAACAAGTGAGAATGGGATAAGGAAGCTTTAGACCCACTTGGCACCCTCGTTTCTATAGCTCTATTCAATAACTTTCCCCAAATTCTCAATTAAAACACGTTAAATAAGGCAATTTAATGCATCCTAAATATAGCCCTTACCTGCACAGTTCTTTAACAGTGCTCACATCAATTATTCTATAATGAAGATGTTTCATGAACTGGGGCATGTATTTGTCAAGAAACTTCTTATCTGCATGAACTGAATTTCCTAGAAAGATACGAAGCATACTGCATCTCTGTATTTCTAGTAGTATACAAAAGGATATCAAAATTCATAAATTGAAGTTGAAATGGAGGTTGTACTTTTAAGTTCAAACAATGCCTAAAAGCACTTCTAAATTCTAAGTGGGTTTGAATGCAGCTGATTAGCTTACAAGGATAGACCACCAAGTATTTAGTCGGTCTAGACTCTAGCTCATAATAAATTTGCTTATGGCCTCTCACGAACAAAAGGCTCCCACATGCTTAAAATAATACACAAATCTCTTTGTTACTTTTTAAGATTATACCAGATCCACAAACTTTCTCCCATTGTCATAAAATCTACACTACTAACACTAAACATTTAACTGAATCACATAAGTAGATAAACTTGTATTCATATTTCAAATTCTTTAACAAATCATCTCCATACTCATGTTTGCATACAATAATTTATACTAAAAACATTAAATTTTAAATGAGAAGGGTTTTTTGTTGTTGTTGTTTCATTTTTTGTTTTTTTTGAGACAGTCTTACTCCATTGCCCTGGGTAGAGTGCCGTGCCATCATAGCTCACAGCAACCCTCAAACTCTCAGGCTTGAGCAATCTTCTTGCCTCAGCCACCCCATTTGCTGGGACTACAGGTGTCACAATGTCCAGCTAGTTTTCTCTATTTTTAGTAAAGACAGGGTCTCACTCTTGCTCAGGCTGTTCTGCAACTCCTGAGATCAAGCAATCCTCCTGCCTCGGCCTCCCAGAGTGCTAGGATTACAGGCACCAGCCACCACGCCCGGCCAAGAACTTTAAAATAGACATCAGTCACAATGGCTGGAGGAAACATTTATACAATACATGCTCTAATACTGAATGTCAAAAGTTGTTTTATGAATGTTTAAGTGCTCCCACATCAATTTACATATACCAATCCACCTTGAGAGAACATTAACTTCCCTTTGACAATGTCAGTCTTTCAAAAATTCTGGTAGAACTGGCCTGAGCTCTTTAAAAAGTCAATTGTCACAGTGGAAAAAAAAAATAGGTGGACTGTTTCAGATTAAGAGACTTAACAACCAAATGAAATACATAAGCCTTCACTGCATCCTGGTTCAAAAACAATTGGACATTTTGGGGAACTCCAAATGTGAACTAGGTATCTAGCTATATTGAATGCCTTAATTATCTTCAATGTAATAACGATGCTTTGTTACATACAAAAACATCCTTATGCTTAGCAGATGCTTCATGAAGTATTTAGGAGTAAAGTGTCATGATGCCTGCGATTTACTTTAAAATATTCAACAGAATATAGAAAAAACAAACATGGCACAAGGTTAACAATTATTAAAATCAACTTTTCTGTGCATGTCAAATATTTTCATAATTAGAAGTACAGGGGAAATTTTCATTGAGTTACTCTGGAGTGTCCCACATCTCATGTCCCACATCTCATGTCAGGTTTCTGGGCGTTTCCACAATATTCACATTATAAACTACACAAAGAAACTTAAGCACAAACGTAAGATGTATAACCCAAACAAGGGTAAGTGGAAGACATAGATGGTCTCGGCTGGTCTTTTTGGAACTGCAGTCTCTTGAATCCCTACAAGAGAACACTATCTACAAGATATACATAGGACTGGATTTTACCTGCAAGTGGACAGAGCCCCGGAGGAGTCTGCTGTCGTACAAAGGACAGAAATTCATACTCTGCCTGCTGCAATGTAATTGTACTCTCCTTCACTGCCTTGGTAAGACCAGACTGCAAGAGAGAATCCCCAGCCCCCACCAGAAACACATGAAGTCAGTTTTCAAAGGCATCCAGAAATGAAATTTCACTTCTAAAATGAGCAAATATAATCACAGGTGGACCATTTTTAGAGCTCAAGTTCAAATTGAAACTGCCATCTTTGCACCAATTTTTTCTTAAGGAATCCAAGCTAAATAAGGTATGTTCCTTATTGTTAACAGCATTTCCACAGTCAAAAAAGATGGTGCTCAAAGTCCATGGATAGAACCTCTGAGAAGAAACAACTATTAGGAGGACAGCAGCACTCCCCCTTCTCTGACAGTTGATGTCTAAGCTCATCCAAAAGACTGACTTGAGGAATACTTGACAATCCACAATGCGTTCGCGACAGACTGAATGTAGGAGAGAAAAAAAGAGGACATTCAGGAGAAGATGGTCTCGAGAGGTCCCAAAGATGAAAAGTAAACAAGCAAGCAGCTTCCCAGGCTTGTCAAGCAATCTTCCTCTAACCCTTTTTAAATACCATCCAACAATGGTATAGGACTCGGATGTGGGAGCAACAAGCTTGTTACTGATCCCCAAAGCAGCAATCCTGTTATTTGGTAATGTTACCTTCCCATGATGCTCCTTACACCAATCTGACATGCTGTCCAGCAACTCATCTGGCTGTTTTATAATCAGGTTAGGACCCTGTGGAGGGGAAAAGCCATTAGCCACCAAAAATCAACAAGAATAACCTTGCTTTCAGAGGTAAAGTTTAAGCTGCTTTACAGACTAAATATATCTATCAGGGAAAATAAAGGGATACATATTAACTCTAAAAGGGATCACTGTGGAGAAAAGGGAACACTTCTGCACTGCTGGTGGGAATGCAAGCTAGTATGTTTCTCTTGGAAAGAAGTTTGGAGAACACTCAGGGATCTAAATGTAGACCTGCCGTTTGATTTTGCAATTCCTCTACTAGGTGTATAACCGAAAGACTAAAAACCAATTGGCAACAAAGGCATATGCACTAGATTGTTCATTGCAGCTCAACTCATAATTGCCAAGTCATGGAAGAAGCCCAAGTGTTCATCAACCATGAATGGATCAATGAACTGTGGTATATGTATACTATGGAATACTATGCAGCATTAAAAAAGATGGAGACTTTACCTCTTTTTTATTTACGTGGATGTAACTGGAAAATACTCTTCTTAGTAAAGTATCTCAGGAATGGAAAAAAATATATCCAATGTACTCAGTACTACTGTAAAACCAATTTATAATCACTCACACTTTCATATGAGAGATGAATCACAACTATAGCCCAGGATGAGGAAGGGAAAGGTAGGGAGGGAGTAAGGGGGGGTTGGTTCCATAGAGGGAAGGTTAATAGTGGGACCTCACCTATGAAGCATATTGCAAGGGTACAAGTCAAATCTATCAAGTATTGAACCCAAATGACTTAACACTGTGATTAAGTAAATGAAGTGAAAGCTATGTTAATTAGTAGGATGTAAGCACTCCAATTTGTACAAATAATCAACACATGGAATCACACAAAGGCATAAATGTATCCATGATATATGTACCAGGTATATATGACTTAATTAAAAAAAAGGGGGGGTTCACTCCAGCACTGTTTATGACTAAATTGAACGTACAACTGAATATCAAAATGCCCATTAATAGAAGACACAGGTATCTATGAAAGGTCAGCAAACTGTGGCCCTAGCCCTCAGCTAATTTTTTACAGCCAGTAAGATTTTTACATTTGTAAAGGATTATAAGAAAAAAAAAAA